CTGACACTTCGTCTCGCCTCACCCAAAGCCAAAAGCTATAGAACGATTTATTCCCTTCAAAAAGCATATGTTCATTAGGTTATACGTATAAAACAGAACGTATATATGAATAATACCTATCCATATTTACTTTAGCAAACAGTTTAAATAGGTTATATCAAAGGCCATATGCTGCGGCTACTAGCTTTTAGAAAATTATCCGCAAATATTAGCCGTGTTTAGTAAGCACCCGTTGAACACTGTCATTACGGACATAAGCAATTAACGTAATGTACTTAGAGGTAGTATTTTGGACACATAACATTTTGTAATTACGCTGTGTAATCTTCTAAAGAGTTATCCAACCCTTCATAAACAAAGCAACGTAACATCATAACATCACGCCTATTATCCCCGAAGGGGTAGGCAGAGGTGTACACAGAAGTAACACCCACTTTCCACTATTAATGTAATGAGTCCCACGTAATAGGGGGTGCCATATACCGGGCACAATTCCGGACTCCGTGCTACTACTGAGATTTTTTTTAAACCCAGTAATACTTTCACCGACCCGGGAGTCGAATCCGAGACCCCTTGCCCGGCAGTTGCACTTGCGACCACTCGGCCAACGAGGCAGTCAGTCATAAACAAAACAAAATGTTTTTTTAAATACGTTGCCCCACACTAGGATTTTCTCTTGTGTCGTGGGTGCGTTTACAAACATACAAGTTCACATACACATTACACCCAGACCCGGAACAACAATTAGTGGATCACACAAAGAGTTGTTCCGTGTAATCAAACTCGCGACACGCTGCACAGCAGCCAGTTGCCCAGCCACCGCACCAACAGTGCAGTCAATTTTACAATAAATGCAAAACTTTTCAGTAGTTATGTTATAACTCTGTTTGCTATACAATGAATCCAAATTCAGACATTGTATCTAAAAAAGAACTTAAAAAATCAATAATATTTTGACCACTCTGCAAATTACCGCTGATATTCATTATTAACACGTTAAACGCCATGGGGGTCACCGGTGACCGGCGTTAGCGGAGGATTTACCTTCAACAGTTTTTTATTGGCAGTCAAAGTCTTAAGTAGATGTGTTTATGATCACTTTATTTTTATTAAACCATTATTTTTTATTTAACCCCGCGCGCGGAGGCACGTCGCCGGGGCGAAACTCCGCTGCCGCGCCAGATAAGTGCGTGGCGGGATGAGCTCCGGCGCGATCTCATGGCGGAATGGCAGCAGCGACTGTCGCAACCGAGGGCTGGGCTCGCTGCCATTGCAGCGGTAAGTCCCCTCTTTGAGGAGTGGCTTGAGAGACGCTACGGCGTCCTCACCTACCGCCTGACGCAGGTCCTCACCGGACATGGCAGTTTCGGGAGGTAGCTGTGTCTGATGGGGCGGGAGGAAACGCCCGGGTGTCATCACTGCGAGGACCGCCCTGAGGACACGGTGGAACACACGGTGGGAGAATGCCCTTCGTGGGCTGAGCACCGCCGTGTCCTTAGGGAAGTGATCGGCGATGGCGACCTCTCGCGTCCGGGCCTAGTGCAGGCCATGATGCGGAGCGAGGGGGATTGGGATGCCGTCTCCTCCTTTTGCGAAGCAGTCATGCTAGCTAAGGAGGAGGCGGGACGCGTGAGGCAGCGAAGCGCTGCCTCCTCGCAACCCAGCCATCGCGAAGGACACACCGGGCGTCGGGGATCGCGGGACGATCTCCGGCCACCGTAAGCGCGGGCCTGCGGACGGCGAGCATGGGTGGCTCCCCGTCCGACCAGAAACAGACCCGAGCGTACGGCGCGTCGCGTTCCGCGCGCGCCTCAAAGAGCCATCAGACCACCACAGATGGGGTCCAATAGGGCCGATGCCGATTCGGAGTCGCGGAGAACCTAACGGGTAACCGGGGCTCCGGCTCGACGTGCAGGAGAAGGAACGGGGTGGTTTTTAGTCAGTAAGAGTCTGACACTCCCTCCCGCCTCACCCAGGCGGGGGCAGTCATTCGATGATTTTCCCCCCTTAAAAAAAAAAAAAAAAAAACCTGAATATTTAGAAAATGCAGCGCTACAGCTGGTTGTCAAACCACTCATCACTCACTCACATACATACGTATGTGTAGTCCGAATTTAGGGGCTGGTTTCCTTGTCTCAAGGTACTTGAGGTTGGTTTAAGTGCGTTCTTGTTTTTCTTCTATTGGTCGTCATGATCTTTCGCTCTCTTCTAATATGAAGTCAAGCACCTCTTCAGACACTAACATTTCGAGATGTCCCACTACAAATAACTAAACAGATGACCTCATTAGTTTGTTGCCAAAATAACAAGAGATCCCAATGATTTTCAATGCTATATCTTCTACATAATATAATCATATACAAACCAACTCAACTCTGTATGATAATATTTGCTTACATGTTGCAAGCTGATGTAAAAGCCAATATAAAGTTTATGGGTGTATGTAAAGCCGCCTTTAAGTACTGAAATCAGATAAACAGGTATTGGTGTTATCAGTTCGGCTTCGTGGAACAACAAGAGTTGCGGGGGTTAAGGTTCGTTCACACTGAACGCGCGGCACCGCGATAAGCTGCGAGTTTTTTACCCGACTTCAAAGAGAAAAACAGGAACTTCTCACCGTTTGACATGTATGTCTGTGATTGGTTGAACCGATTTTGATGCTGTCTTCAGAAAAGTATTTGTTACACTTAGGAGAAGGTATTAGTATGCATATTACTTAGCCGACTTAAAAAAGAAGAGGGGTCGGAAGTCGGTTTTTTTAAACGTAGTTAATTAAAGAATTATGTGTAAATTGCTTACATTTTGCTGGCATGGCCATACTTACATGGCTTGTGTATAGTAATTACCTATTACGAATATTAAAAAGTTACCGTAAAAATATTTTTCAAAATGTTTGATCTTGAATCTCTTGAAAAATTTCGAGGGAAAGTGACTGTTAGCGCAGCTGATAGTTTACTACCTAGACAGGCGAGTATCGTTACGGACAACAAAAGTGGTGATGTCAGTGCCTTTACAACTGGTCTTGGCGGCGACACTACCAACCTGCTGGAAGATAAAACTGCACAGTGGAACTGGTATCGTTACGGGTGACAAAAGTGCTGATGTGAGTGCCTTTACACGTGATCTTGATGACGACATCAGTACCCTAATAGGAAGCAAAGCTGCAAAGACAAAAGGTCTTGATGGAGTCACTAATATAAATCTCATTGAGTTAAACAATTTGTAATATTCTAAATACTGTATGGCGCACGAAACAGACTAAACAGAGCTTAAAGTCTTTGTTGTACTTAATGAACAAGAATTTTAGCATCTAAAATCGAAGCGTCGCATAGCCCAGTGTGAAACATACCTTACAGAATCAACTGTTTTGACGTATAGAATGGGGATTTGCGGCTTCCCAAGCTGATTGCAGGCTTTACTTCCCTTTGTAAACTAAATTAGGGATTATATCTCTCCAATCATATTTTATTTCAAACTTATTTTTAGATCGCCGTTTCACTGATAATTGAATTTGCGTTCCGAGTACCGAGACTTCTTTATCTTTAATATTAAACTGTCAAACACCAAGCGGTCACCGGTGACCGCGACCTATTGTTCTTTAATTGTGTCTATAAAACCGGTACTCGACGAGTTAAACTGCGTGACCATTTTTTTTTAAACGTATTTGACTAGGAGTTCGCGTTTTTAGGTACCTATATATAATAGTTAGTAAATGGAATTTAAAGTTTTCGATTTAATATGAATGAATAGGTTGTTTCATTTATCTATTTAGGTTGTGTTGTGTATCTGTCTATTCATTCTTTAATATTAAACGGCGCGTCCATTTTTTTAAACGTATTTGACAAGGAGTTCACGTTTTTAGGTACCTATATATAATAGTTAGTAAATGGAATTTAAAGTTTTCGATTTAATATGAATGAATAGGTTGTTTCATTTATCTATTTATTAAGGTTGTACACAACACAACCTATCTGTCTATTCATTATAGAATAGTAATCAATAATCATATCGTTACTTGTTTTTCTACAAAAACCATCTTCAACGCCGCATAAGACAACGCACATCTTTATTCTCTTAAAACTAGAACGAAGACATCGAATCCAATTTAAATATTTGAATTTGGAAATTGGAACTATTCAAATAAGAGTTTATAGCTGGAGTTTTACGAGTAAAATTGTCTTTGTCTATAGTTTCTTTGTGTGATCATTAGGTGCAAAGAGGTTCGTTGTTAAAACCAAGTTTTCTTTAGTTTAACGAGTTTTGTTCCTCTGTTGGGTTTGGACCTTTGTTATTATTTTAAAGGACTACACTCACTACAATTATTGGCAGTATCTAGTCGTTATTTTCTTTGAAGTATATTTTATTTGGTACTTTAATTAAGTGATAGTTTAGGTTTCAACTTTTGTTTTGGTAACTTTAGGTTTAATCGTTAACTTTCTTGTAGATGTATTTGTTATCTTTAATAATATTTTGTCTTTGTGTTTACTATTAATAATTTAGTTTGAAAAATAGAGTAGACAAAACAATATGACATTAAGGTTCATCAACAAAAACCAACCAAAAGTTCTAATGTTTGTATGATTGATTTTTCATTCATTTCCACTGAAACTTTTTTTTTATTTATTTATTTATTTACTACAATCTGTCTCCTTCGTGGGACATTCAGAAGTATGTCGGTTTGTGCCAACGCAGACTCGCTGTATGTGGCCTGTGCCACATCCTCATTATTTAAGCAGTAATTATAATTACTGTGATTGGATTAGGTCTTGAGGTATTTTAGGCTTTAATCGTCGCGCTTTGTTGTGATTGTCCGAGCCAGCCATTAGTGACCGAGCCAGAGTTTTTGGGTGTTGTTGGATTCTTTCTTTATAGGACTTGGTGTGGTGTATGATTTCCACATAAACGACAAAAAAATGTAGTATGACAATAACAAAAAGTATTAGTTTTAGTTGGCAATGAATTAACTAACAGTTTTAATAATCATAAATATTCTTCAACAGGAATAAGAATGTTGGACCAGCCCTACATGACGGATTTGATCGAAGCGAACTCTATGGGGCACGAGCCCCATAAGATTCACATCTACAGCGCTTCCTGGGGGCCTACGGATGATGGCAGGACGGTTGATGGACCCCGTAATGCTACCATGAGGGCTATTGTACGAGGAGTGAATGAGGTAAGACTTTTTTTATGGCATAAGCCGGTAAACGAGCAGACGGATCACCTGATGGTGAGCAATCGGCGTCGCCCATGGACACCTGGAATACCAAAGGTAACCGGCAACCGGCTTTTTGGGGATTCGGAATTTAAGAATCGTTGGGGATTCAGGGATTGCGGAGATTGGGGAAGGGGAGGGTAATTGGGCCTCCCGTAACCTCACTCACACGACGAAACACAACGCAAGCGTTGCTTCACGTGTCGGTTTCTGTGAGGCCGTGGTATCAACCACCACCGGAGTGATCTCCGGTCGAGCTGGCACATTCGCACCGAAGCATGGCTTGGGCCTGAACTATCCCTATAGGACTAGATTTTCTTGAGACAAATGTGATCGCATTGGAAGCCTTAATAATTTAAATTAACCTAAACACAAATTGTTCCTGTACTCAGGCATAAAATTGACTTCTATTACCTTGGAAATATAGATAGAGGTATAAAGTTTCTACATTTTAACGTTCTACGTTATTTCGTGTATCGTTTGTGTCTTCACGCCTATCTCCCATGGAGGTAGACAGAGACTATGACACACTAATCTCAATTAAACCGGGGATTAAATCCAAAATACCAGTGAGACCATCCAATTGCCAAAAATGTAGCGAGTTTTTCGGAAATGGATTCTGATATTTAAAAATAGTATTTTCTGAATCGGCATTTTCTATTTCCAAACTAGATAGGTACGCCAGTGCTCAAATCCGATCGTTGATATATGTCTATAAATTGCACTGACAAATCTGATAAGCCGGAAATAGAAGTTATCCATATATGTATTTTATCGAACCCTAACACCGGTCACTACTTGAAATAGAAGATACACGTGTATCGAGGGTGCGAACTAGACGATTTTATTATAAATTCTATCCTATCAACATTATAAAATAGACAAATTTGTGACCAATAAAAGCCATATTAATTGTGTTATAAACACTAATTTAAGGTGATGTTACGACCAATAGAAACTGAACTGAGGGTTGTAAAATTAATATATGTTTGTATGTATGTATAGCCCCACCGGTATTATTTGTTTGTGTTAAATTTTACTGCCTCGTTGGCCGAGTGGTCGCAAGTGCGACTGCCGGGCAAGGGGTCTCGGGTTCGATTCCCGGGTCGGGCAAAGTATTACTGGGTTTAAAAAAAAATCTCAGTAGTAGCACGGATTCTGGAATTGTGCCCGGTATATGGCAATAGGCTCACCCCCTATTACATGGGACTCATAACATAAGTAGTGAAAAGTGGGTGGCTTAATGTGCACCTCTGCCTCTGCTCTCTGCTCGTCGGGGATAAAAGGCGTGATGTTATGTTATGTATGTTAAATTTTAATATGGTTCAATCATCAACATTTGTGTTTGTGCATCTTCTACATAAGAGGGTTAAAAACGGTTATGCATTTAATGCGGTGCCACCGCGTACCGCCGCGGAGGACGGCGACAGCTAAGCGGATTTCGTAGCGGTGCGCGTTTAAGCGTCTCTCCACGCGGATGGATTCAACACGGTTTTGACCAGTTAGTTCATAGACAGTTCGATTTTTTTAATTGTAACACGTCCTGCAGCTGTAGCCAAATGCCATCTAGCGCTTATATACCTCTATATGTAGTTAGCCAAATTATACGGAATTGACGTAAATTTTAACACTTGTTAATGTCATCCTCATACATTTTGATTTATTTATTTTATTTAGACAAGCGCTAAAGTGGCGTTTGGCTAAAGGTCCTGCAACCACTATATTCTGCGCCCAATGCGTGAGGCGCCGCTCCGCACATACACACACATACAATATATGCTTCAAAACCTAAAATGCCTAAAAGAGGTATATGTGTTTTAGGCATCTACGGAATTCATAGAAGTCTATGTGACAAGAGATTCCTTCACCGCCTACCGCGGCGGTGCGCGGTGCCGTGTGTTAATCGCCTTACTGGGTTCATATTTATAAGAAAGTCTTTAAGGCCCGAATGAATAGGTTGCTTATGGAACGACGTGCTCCATTGTAGGCCGCATCATCGCTTACCACCAGGCGAGATAGTGGTCAAACGTCGGCCCATCAAATATACAAAAGCGATACTGTCCGGTTCCTGATAAATATAGTCCCTTGGTCAGTTCTAAACACGCCCGCGAGATGTGAAGAGATGGTGCAAAATGTATTTCATTCGTATTTCACTACATTGACTGTTGCATCACCAATATAGTTAAAGAATAACAATATATTACTATAGTTTTTCCTATATCGCATTCACGTTCTACGATAAAATAGTTTAAACAGCCTCATTAAATGTTTAGTACCGTATATATTTACTTAGAATACATATACATATATATAAAACTATATCGCACGTGTTTACGATAACCGCCATCATATATTTTATGTTAGTTTTAAATCAGTTACTGTTGGGGTTGTTATATTGAGGTTTTGAATATGAGAATAGTAGATTTTAACCGCGGCTTTACCCGGGAGCACTTAATTCTATTTTTCATATTTTTCCTGGGAACACTTAATCGGGATAAAAAGTATACTATCACCCCAGTCAGCCCATATCGTGCCTATATGCTAAATTTCATCAAAATCCGTTTAGTAGTTCCAGCATGATTGACGGACAAACATTAAACAAAGAAACTTTGACATAACATATCATCACGCCCTTTAGTCCCGAAGGGGTAGGTAGAGGTGCACATAACGGCACTTAATTAAGTAAAATCGCGGGTTACTCACGTGAATATACTGAGAAAAGCTCTACTAGTTTCGAACCACAGAGGGGTTCTTCCTCATCAGCTTTGTGCGCGGACGCGGCGACGTCGCGCAGCTCACTGGCTGGCGTCGGCGCTCGCCTTCAACACAACATTAACTATAATAATAACGAAATAAGAGTCTGACATTCTCAATTCAAACCTTTTTTTTTAAGAGGGCAAAATCATCGAATGGGTTTTCCCGCCTGGGTGGGGCGGGACTCTAACTGACTAAAAACGACCCCGTTCCTACTCTTGCACTTTAAGCCGGAGCCTCTGTAACCCGTTAAGTTCTCCACAGCTCCGTATAGGCATCAGCCCTATTGAGCCCCATCTGTATGTAGGTACCCCATAGGACTTTGATATCGCTAAGAATTTCGAATCAAAACCTAAAACGTAGTCCGCACTTGTAGAACTTTCTACATCACCTCTTTTAACTCTTTAAATGTGACTAAACCACATTAAACCAAAGTGGCTTAACCTTTAAGCACTTAAATGCTACTTTATTTCCAACATTGGACGTCATTTCCGCTGCGCTCAAAGCTAAAAGAGGGACGCTTGAAAAAGGAACATGGCCGCTCTTCCGGTGTTTAACTTGAAGGAACTAGCTGGGATTATGAAGTCTATTATCTAGCTTAAGTTTCATTCTTATTTTTTGATAAAGGCTACTCGGAGTTCAGGATGCAGCGACATCCTTTTTGAATGTTCTTCTTAAATAATAGTAAAACCTTTTATTATTTTAAACCTTTTATAAAACCTAATATATAGGTAACTATCATCTATTTCGATCCGGGAATCACACCACACATCCATTGCTCGGCTTGAACAACTGTCGTTAAGTACTTCGCGAAAAGCGTTCGAATAGATATTTATTATTTAATACAGCATATATATTCTCCTTCGCATAATAAAATACCCCATACCTCGTTTATAACAATTTTATAGTCTCATTCATCGTTTTCAATTCCAATTCTTCATTTATGTCCTATCTTCCATAGCTAAACTGCCAGCCGTTTGCACTATCTCCGGTGTAAACGAGCTTTATAATCGATTCAGAACCCTATTTACTGACGGATAGAAGTTATTATGGAGTAATGTTCCATCGCAAAATGAGATAGTGCTATATAGATATTGGCATAGAAATATAGAGAATGACAATAGATTCATTTAATAAGTTTTGTTTTAATAATTTTGAGTACATACAGCAATCACTATATATTAGCAAATTTTGAATGGTGTAAAAATTTAAATATATAATTAGACTAGCTTCTACTAACGGCTTTGCTGGCGTCCCCAAGGTATAAAACGTAGCCTATATGTTACTTCCGCGAGCCGTCCGCGAACTGCGTACGTGTATTTCACATTATTATTTATATGAACCTGGTATGCGTTGAACACCAAACTACTAGACTGCATGCGTACAACTCACGGGTAGCCCACAAACGGCTTACGAGCGCGGCACATTGGCGGCATGTTCGTCAGATGTGGACGTACCCTTATAGAGAGTCCCTACTATAAAGTAACAAGAAAGTTACCAAAGACACAACACTTACCTATATATACGACAACACAAAATAACCACTTACCTACCCATTCCACTTCACCTAGAGTGACCATCAACAACCAGACGGACACACATTATATACAAAGTAAGTACATTTACAAATATATCGTGGAAAGTAGGTCCGAATCTGCGGTTACCTTTACATTAAGCCAGGCCTATCACTCGGGCCCACACGACCGTGTTCAATAAACAAAGCGAGGGATAGAAAGCGAAATAAATTGTATATTATTTCTGACAATTTTCGAGAATATTTCTCATGTTTGTTGAGGCTGTATCAATAGGTATTATGTGATATGGTATATAGAATTGTTGGTATAAGTATCATTCGTATCTAATTGATGATTGTGCTGATATGAAATGAAACTTCTTAGTTTCATTAGGTCGGTATTTAACTGGTTTGTTGGGACACATTCAAGTACCTAGCTTCACCTAGTGTCACTGACGGACTGACTGACAGACTTGTTTGTATTTGTTGACGTTTCAAAAGTACCAAACTATGGTTTAATTGAAATAAATGCTTTGACTTTGACTTTTAATTTCTAGGTAAAACGTCTATTTTTATACTTAATTTCATTGCACACCATATTAGGTACAACAATATAAACAATTTCCTCACCTACATTACACAAATAAGACAAGTCTACAACGAGCACAATACACAATGTAACATTACTTCAAACATATGCTTTAAGGCAAAGTAATAAACACTAAAATACACTGTGGCAAGACCATAAATCTTACATATTAACATATTGTTCACATTCCCACTGAAATAAAGACTGACTTTACTTGCTTTATATAATAATATATGCTGCTAATTCCAGTCACATAATGAACAAGCCACAAAGTTGAAATGCCGCAGGAATGTTAACAAAGACTTTTAGATATACCTCTAAGTTACAAAGATGCTATGTTAACAAAGAAGCTTAGATATATGCTAACAAACGTGTTTAGACTTCAGATATAGCGTTTACTAGCGCTTTGCTCTTAGTAATTCTGGAGATTGTTCTTTTGCGAGCAATTTTGAGCAAATATCTTTACTGTGGTACGGGTATTTTTTTTTTAAGGGGGGAAAATCATCGAATGACTGCTCCCGCCTGGGTGAGGCGGAAGGGAGTGTCAGATTCTTACTGACTAAAAACCACCCCGTTCCTTCTCCTGCACGTCGAGCCGGAGCCCCGGTTACCCGTTAGGTTCTCTGCGACTCCGAATCGGCATCGGCCCTATTGAGCCCCATCTGTGGTGGTCTGATGGCTCTTTGAGGCGCGCGCGGAACGCGACGCGCCGTACGCTCGGGTCTGTTTCTGGTCGGACGGGGAGCCACCCATGCTCGCCGTCCGCAGGCCTGCGCTTACGGTGGCCGGAGATCGTCCCGCGATCCCCGACGCCCGGTGTGTCGGGGATCGCGGGACGATGGCTGGGTTGCGAGGAGGCAGCGCTTCGCTGCCTCACGCGTCCCGCCTCCTCCTTAGCTAGCATGACTGCTTCGCGTGGTACGGGTATAGAGACTTATTTTTAGGACGTTTTTGCCTTGTACTCGTTTAGTATGACAGAAACACCTAACTCAATATTTTGTTAATGATGTTGACTATGAATAGAATATGTTTATTACCACCTCTATTTTTATCAGAAGGGTCATAAGAACCAATTAAAAAATTACAAATTCGTAACGATTTCTTAGTCTTTTCTTGTAAGGAAAATCATCGAATGACTTCTCCCGCCTTGGGTTAAGCGAGAGGGAGTGTCAGACTGTTACTGACTAAAAACCACCCCGTTCCTACTCCTGCTTTTCAAGCCACAGCCCCGGCAACCCTTTAGGCCTTCCGTGGCTCCATATCGGGAACGCTTGGTTAGGCTAAGGCCTCACAAGATGATTGCCAGTGCAGTGGAACCTGCAAGCAATCGCACACGCTGCAGGTGTAAAATACGTCATGAAATATGCTTTAATTTTTTACATAAATATCTGCCAGCCGGCCAGTGACTGCGACGGGCGCAGGTGAAAATCGCTTCGTGATACCTTAAGATGATGCCTTAAGAGGTCTCAGCTTGCTACGTGCGGAGATTAAAGCAAAACTTCTTTATCGAAGTTCATAATCTAACAATGTGGACTGTCATAAACTGTTAATGATGATAAACCGTTATGAAAACCTACATAATTATGTACTTAAATCTTCAAGTTCATAATAATTTAACCTCGGGTTATATTATATTGTTGCTAAGAAGTACTAAAATGTGGTAAAAACTAATTTATGTCAAAACTTTGTTAAACTGAGGAACTTAAACTTTGTTAAATATTTTAATTAGTTAATTTGGTCTAGTGGTGTATTTTTGAAATATTCTATAGTCGATGACTTCATGAGTCGAGTGGTCATAAAAAGAGCTCTCAGGTTCGATTGGTCGGGTAAAGAATTGAGGTATTAGTGCTTTATCGGTTTTTTCGCTCGGTAGCCGCCCTTGTGATCACTTGACCTACAAAAGGAGTTGGCGATCACAGTTTAAGAAGTTCAGGATTATGCAAGACCGCTGCTACCCGGTCTCTGTTAAATGTAGAGTGAGTAAATCCTTATAAGTGTTGGTATATCTTACCATACCAGCGGGAAAAGCAGGGCTAGTATTTTAAGTGTGGGAGAGCCATGCTTCGGCATAAATGGGCCGGCCCGACCGGAGTGATACCACGGCCTCACAGAAGACCGACGTGAAACAACGTTGCGTTGTTTCGTCGTATGAGTGAGGTTAGCGGAGGCCCAATTCCCCCCCCCCCCCGTCCCCAATCGCTGAATCCCCAACAATCCTCAAATTCCTAGTCCAGAAGCCCGGTAACGCACTTGTAACGCCTCTGGTGTTCCATGTGCTCGTTTACCGGCTTATCCCATAAAAAATAATAATAATACTTTTAAGCCAGCCAATAGAAAACTGTTACCGCAAACTCTAACGTCGGTCACCGGTGACTTTCGTGGCGTTTAAAGTATCAAAGTACAAATGTCCATAGAATGATGCATGATGCTTTTGTCCTACCAGGGTCGTAACGGTCTGGGCAACATCTACGTGTGGGCGAGCGGTGATGGCGGTGAGGATGACGACTGCAACTGCGATGGTTATGCAGCTTCCATGTGGACCGTTTCTATCAACAGGTTGGTTATTTACCTAGGACTCTTCCTTATAAACTACTTAATAATGATAATAGTTACTGCCTCGTTGGCTGAGTGGTCGCAAGTGCGACTGCCTGGCAAGGGGTCTCGGGTTCAATTCCCGTATCGGGCAAAATATTACTGGGTTTAAAAAAAATCTCAGTAGTAACACTGAGTCTGGAATTGTGCCCGGTATATGGCAATAAGCTCACACCCTATTACATGAGACTCATAACTTAAATTGTGAAAAGTAGGTGTTACATTGTACAGTGTTATAATGTACACCTCTGCCTACCTCTTCGGGGATAAAAGGCGTGATGTTATGTTATGTTAGTTTTTCTTGTGATAGGTTAGCGAGTAGACGGGTCATCTGTGTGCCTAGCACGAATAACTATCGCATTCGTAACGTAATAGTATCGAGACATCGAAACGTCATGTGACGAAAACGGAATGTCGCAGCACGAAGCCTATCGTATCGTCTTTCGAGAGCTCGAATCAAATTCGTTAGTGACGTCATGCTGATGTAAAATAGAGAAGCACCAAAGTGAACGAATTGAATGACATAAGATTACGTCTGAAAACTAAACCATTTTTAAAATATTTTTCTATCTTTGTCTGCACGATTAAGGCTTTGATAATTTGTTAAGATATATTGGTTAAGCAAAAAAAGGTCAAGAACGGAGTTTACGGGTACGTAAAGTGACATAATCGTATTATTACAACCAAAAAGGTACTAGTTAGTTTTGTAATTTCATAAAATATTTTACAATTTCCGAACGTCGTGTTTGACAGAGGTCAAATGCCATGCCACTATGTCAAGTTATTTGTTTATTTATACTTTCACTATGATTTCTATTTTAATTAATATAAAATAACTCAATTCTAAAGCAAAATAAGGGTGGACTTAATGGAAAGTAGGTATCGTAAGTAAAAATTCCAACATAAAATACGCGCGAAAAACAATATAAGAGTATTGTTTTTCGTAGTCGGATTATTAATTGTTTTGAATAGTTTCTCTTTATTGTGTTTGACCTAATATGCATTGTAATGTCTATTCCAGGATTCTAGGAGTGTGTCTAAGCCAGCTTTTCGACACCATAAACCACTTCTTTTCCATTAGAGAATGAATAGACCAGCAAAAAAGACTAAACTTGAACTGACGAAAATTGTTCTTGCAACTTGATAATAAAACAAGTGATGATGCTAGGAAGTGTGAGGGAAGATAATGAAATATACCTAATAGTGCTGACGTGGTGCTCCTATACCTAAGTTTCGTCATGTGGAATACAATGAGACAAATAAACATGCTTATAGTATTAGATTTTATTTTTTTCTTGAATCTCTTTGTACAATAAAATTTGTCTTTATATACATACAGTCTATCTCATTGGAAATATAGGTAGTAACATATTGACAGAATATTTGCTAAAATTAAATTATATTGATTTGTGATAAAGTGATGTCTTGAAACTAAAGTTGCATAAACCTAGTTCAAGCAAATCGCTACAAATATTAGTACATGTCCTTTGTTTTTTTTTGTCAATACTTTTAAGCAAAATAATATATTGTTATTATAATTAATAATCAATCATAATTAAACATTAATATTGTAAATTGCAAAACTAACAATACATTTGTAAAATATAATTGTAAGTGGAGTCTTATGAAATAAATTATTCTTATTCTAATAAAGTATTGAGTATTGAATCTACTTATTCTGTCTTCTAACACATTCCTTTTATCCTACCCTGCAAAATGCATGTTCAAAGAAAGAGAAGTATATGAGATAATTATCTAGCGATTGTGGTTTGGGCACATTGAAAATATATCTCCTCTATCTATCCTATCCTATATAATGTATGTTGAAAGAAAGATAAGTATATGAGCCATATAAAAGTTTATAGTGCTTGTGGTTTGGGCATATCAAAATATAAGGCTAAAATTTGTAACACAACTAAGCTGTTATTGCTTTTAGCACAATTTTCGGTGGCACAGTGGAGTATGCTCCTTGCACAAGCAACACCATCGGTTTTTCATCGTCCAAAAGTTTTGTCAATAGTGATCCATCCACGACGACAAACATAACAACAAGTGGCATTCTCCGCATCATTATTGCCATGTTTCCCGAAAATATTGATGTTGATGAATTATTTCATACGCACACTACTTGTTTTGGTTCATTTTAATTTATAATTGTCATAAAATCTTAATTTTAAAATGTTTCGAAACCTTTCTCACCGGCAAATTCTAAGTGACAAATGTTTTGACAGTTTTCGATAGCCAGCCTTCGAAATTTACGTTACCGTTTGTCAAAAGATCGTTCGTGCTTCCAATTTGTGTCAAAATGTTCTAAGTTTCGATAGCAACACGATACGATTACGATACGATAGTTGTCAAACTCATTCGTGCTTGCGGCATTTAGTTCCTTTTACGCACGGTAGGGGCGCTGTACAAATCCCATAGAAAATGCTTTCGATGTCGATACGAATACTTTCTCGATAGTTTTCGTGCTAGGCACACTGATGGTAAGCAATTGGCGCCGCCCATGGACAACAGTAACACCGGAGGAGTTACAAATACGTTACTGGTCTTTTTGGGGGCCTTTTTACGATAGGCTACGCATCACTTCGAGGAGCCGGTCCTTTCGTGCCAAAGAGTAGGCAGAATGGTTATCCGAAGTAAGATGTTATTTATGATAGTGATAATATGATGAAAATATAACTTCAGTTGTTACGCATTTGCCGATCATTATAATTCATTCAGTTTGTACAATTGTACATATGTACAGTCAAAGGTCAAAAGTCCACTGCCACCGTGAGTAATGTTCACACGGCAATGCGTAAGTAATTTCATATTAATGTGCATAAAAACGCGTGCGTACGCATAAACACACGTACGCGTACGCACACGGATAAAAATATGCGTGTGAATGTGTGTATAAGCGCTGCAGCGCAACCGATAGTAGTCTTACGGTGGCAGTGGACTTTTGACCTTTGACCGTACAATTCCTAAGTTTTCAGCAACCTTTGGTAATGTTTTGGCGAATTTTTGATACAGATGTTGTCAACATTACATTCTTGGCGTTTTTTAAATAAGGGTCTTGCTTTTGTTACAAAAACGTCGTGTGTTAAGTTAGAACCTCATATGAGTACAGTGACTTCTAATGGGTTAAGTTACAAAGTTACCGTCACGACGATTTACGACGCAACCATTTGTCAAGCTTGCTCTAGTTTTAAAATAGTTGTAACTACTTTGTTGTTAGGTTTCTTATCCGGTTTTATTACACTTCTATATATAAAATAGGGTACATTAAAAATCAAATGTTATATACTTGATTCAATAAATATATGTAGAAATATACTGGTTCTGAAAATGGTGTATTAAATATTCACAAAGTTATATAATGTCTGCTGCCTCTGTTGCCTCATTGGCCGAGTAGCCGCAAGTGCGACTGCCAGACTAGAGGTTTCGGGTTTGATCGGGTTGGGCAAGTATTACTTAGTTTTAAAAAAGAAATCTCAGTAGTAGCACAGAGTCTGGAAATGTGCCCGGCATATGGCAATAGGCTCGCCCCTATTACATGTGACTCATAACATAGCAGTGAAAAGTGGGTGTTACATTTTATAGTGGCATTAAGTGCCGTAATGTGCACCTGCCCCTTCGGAGATAAAAGGCGTGAATTTATGTTATGTTATCTAATATAAAATCATCTAACAAAATAATTTTAATTCAGTGTTGTAAGAAAAACAATACTATCTATTTAAAAATTAGTATTCAACTGAAGTCAATCAAGCTCCAACCATTTTACAAAATGTCAACTTTAGTTTGAAAAATCGAGGGTTTTTATGTAGCTACCTCGGCTCGGGTTTTGTGACACCCAACTATTTAAAAAAGTTTCTTTTAGCATTGATAAAGTGGCTTTCTAGGGAGCCATTTATTTGATTCACAGTCGTCTAAATCTGGAAATAGTTTGTAAAACATAAAGGGCACCATTTGTTTCGGAATCATGAACCATTTTTGGTAGTTTTTATTCTAATGAAGTAGGTTTTATTACCAACTTAAGTGTACTTTTAACTGTGCTTTCTAAGATTATTTAGACACCACTGACAAATGGTGAAGAAAAACATCGTGAGGAAACATAAGTTTATAATTTCTAAATTATAAGTTTAAAATTGCCAACCCACATTGAGCAAGCGTGGCGATAATGCTCAAATTTTCTTCGTTTGAGAACAGGCCTTTGGTCAGTAGTTGCTATTTATAGACTTATGTTGATGTTAATTCTAATGAACACTTGATCAACGGTTGACTTAATATGTAGGTATATCTTATTATTATGAACTCTTCAATATTTCGTCTATTTATATTATTCACTTATAGTCGAAGTAAATAACATGTCAGTTGAAAATATTCGGTCTGAGATCGAGGTCGATATTTATTGTGTGGAGTACCTATTCTGTCAAAAGTTTTGATCAAAAGGTTTTGGATTATTATCAGTTATAAATTTCAGTCTATACTTAACTTAGAATATAAAAATGTTGACCATTTTTTTCTCCTTTTACTATTCTACTGAACGCGCCCACGACGGGTGCGTTTACAACCATACAAGTTCACATACATATGACACCCAGACCCGAAACAACAATTTATATATCACAGAGTTGCTCCGTGCGGAAATTGAAGGCACTATACGTTGCGGGGCAGCCATTTGCCCAGCCACCGCACCAACCGTGCAGTAATTAACCAACACAATCTCAAAATGGTCCACCCCAACAATATTTTATAACTTTAGTTCAACATTTCCAGTGCCATAAACGACGGCCAGAACGCCCACTATGATGAATCCTGCTCATCAACGCTGGCGAGTACATTCAGTAATGGCGCCCGAGATCCCAGCACTGGAGTGGCAACTACCGACCTCTATGGAAAATGTACTGCAACTCACTCGGGCACGTCAGCCGCTGCGCCTGAAGCTGCCGGAGTTTTTGCGCTTGCTCTGCATGCTAAGTAAGTTTCATTTTGGAGTTTAAACCTCTCAGCAAAAGGCTTAAAATAAATGTTTCAATGAAGAGACTGATTTCGAAAATCAATGAGTAACAGTGTCTTAATTTTTTAATTACTTACCTGATATTTGACAGGACCTAAAAATAACTTTGTTGAGGGTTTATTTCACATCTTCTGATTAAGCTTCAGTTAGCTTAACGGACACAGATTTTGATATATTAGGATTGGAAAATATGCCAATTTATTCGTTGATTCGGTCCTAATAAAAACTTAATCTAATTTAACGCTATGCTATATAAAATATTGAGAAAATTGTCAGACCAACCAATTGTCAAACCCACAGTTCAAAATGGAAAGAATAATCTACAAAACATTTTACTTTTGTCTGAAGTGTCGCATTTTGTTTACAGCCCCAGTTTAACGTGGCGAGACATCCAACACTTGACTGTTTTGACATCAAAGCGGAATTCTCTTTATGATGCCAAGGTAAGCCTTTATCACAAGTGGTCTGGTAAAGAATACGTGATTCAGATGTTCGTAAATACTATAAAAGCATGCCATAAAAGCCCTTTTGTTCATTGTTACTTAAACTGTCAAACACCGCGAGGACACCGGTGACCGCAACCTATTGTTCTTTAATCGTGTCTATAATGACGGTACTCAAAGGGTTAATTAATAAAACTGCAATAAAAAACTATTGAACATGTAAGACGTGTAGGTTATTTGAATCCTGCCTCATTTTGTCACACTGGTCAAAAATGGTGCCCATGGAACTGCGGACGACCTAAGCATTTTACCGGGAATCCAGCACAAAGTAGAAGTAGGAACGGGGTGTTTTTTAGTGAGTAGGAATCTGAAACTCTCTCTAGCTTCATGGCACCTGGCAAAGGCAGAGATTATAGGTGATTTTGCCACGCAAAAAAACCTCGTCAAAAGTAGTAATATTTGACGAGTTTTTTGGATTACTATTAATGCAGGTAATTGGGTTTGTTATTACAAACTTCGAGGTTAAAACTAAACTACGAATAATTAGCGGTTCAGTACCTTATTTCATTTGGGTAACATAAACATAAATATTGTTCATTCAAAACCAGATAATTTTCGTAGTTTGAAATTACAAAATATAGCCTTCAGTCTATTCTATCTGAAAGTTTAAATGTCAAGGTAAGGAAGACTCAAAAAGCTAATGTCTGGCTATATTATTAGACGTAATTATTAAATTCAAATTAACTTTTTCGTTCATTTCTTTAGATTGTAGATTAATAATTATGTTGGATGCATTCTATTAGAATTATTTTAGGAGTAGTCGAGCGGTTGCAGATGCTGAGTAAGAGGTTTGCAGCTCAGACTAAATATTGTTAGCTTCTTTGGTTTTCGTAAATGTAAGTTGCTACACTGAGTTTTTATTTGGTGGGGGAAAATTAACCAATAACTTCTCCCACCTTGGGTGAAGAGAGAGGAAGTGTCAGCTTTTTATTGACTAAAAACCACCTCGTTACTACTTATGCTCTTCGAGCCGGAGCCCCTGCAACCTTTAAGTCTTTCGCGGCTCCGTATCGGCATCAGCCCTACTGGGCCTCATCTGTGGTGATCTGAACACTTTTACATGTCAGTATTTATTTAAATTATTAGATGACGTGGACATTTTTTATTTGACTATTATGAGAAGTAATGCCTAAATAAAGTCAGGTGTCCTAGTATTATGCTCGCGTTCCATTATATGAATCTTAAAAATATCTGAACGATAGGAATTGTCGAAATCAATTCATAACCATAACGTATTATTTCTTCTAACGGATATGATTTCAGAAAATGATTTGAACGATATTCATTGGGTCTTCCCAGAATTGTTAAGAATTAATTTCAAGTAATTGGAAAGACTTATTTCTCAGAATTGTGTTTTAAGAAAACAGGTCGTAATTGAATAATATCGCAAATAATAATTATAATTATTATTTCGTGGTAATGGGGTTTTTGTTTCTTCAATATTTGTTTAAAAAGTAACTGTTGCTTCATCCGCGTAGAATACGAATTTTAGAACATATTATTATGTTTTTTTAGTTTCAATTTTCCAAAATAAAAGTAGCCTATGTTACTCCTCTGTACATCAGCTAACTGCCAATTAAAGTCCCGTCAAAATTGGTCCAGCCATTCCAGAGATTAGCCAGTACAAACAGACAAAAATTGTAATAAATATTTTAGTATGTGTATCGTATGTATGTTCATATGCATGTAGTAAAAAGCGGTTATTTTAATGTTACAAACAGACATTCTTATTTTATTTATCAGTAGGTATAGATAATTTATTTTGACATCACAACGTCTTAAGATACTTTTTCCTTATTCCTATTTTCGTTGATTAGTGATTATAATCATAACTTTACGTAATACGATATGCCAATACCTATTCTATTTTTTTTCTCACACATTATTAATTCTTCATTCTCACACAATTCAAAATATCAGATTCGGTACCTAAAATATGTAGGTACACTTACAGCAAAATTTTAAAGATATATATAGTACATACATACATAAATTGACGCCTGTCTCCCGCGTGGGTAGGCAGGGACTATGCAACGCCAATTTCTACGACTCTCACATACCTCTTTCGCTTTTGCAACTGTTATCAGTCTTTTTATGCATACTCGTCGGTCAAGGGTACTTTTAATACATATATACTTTTTTATTCCAGGGCCGTTTCCACTGGACCATGAATGGCGTAGGACTGGAGTTCAACCATCTCTTTGGATTTGGTGTGTTAGATGCGGGCGCCATGACAGCACTGGCTGCCAACTGGCGATCAGTGCCACCACGGTACCATTGCGAGGCTGGATCTGTTAATACACATACGTAAGTAGGATTTCTTTTATAGTTGTAGCACTGTACAGTGTACCTTTTTTAAGGGGGGTAATCATCCAATATGGGTGAGGTGGGATGGAGTGTCAGACTCTTACTGACTAAAAACCACCCCGTTCAAACTCCGGCACTTCAAGCCGGAGCCCCGGCAACCCGTTAAGTCTTCCGCGGCTCCGTATCGGCATCAGCCTTGTTGGGCCCCATCCGTGGTGGTCTGATAGCTCCTAGAGGCGCACGCGGAACGCGACGCGCCGTACGCTTGGGTCTGACTGTACGGTGTACCTGACATGTAATAACTGATGGCAGAAAAAAAGATATAATTATGTCACTCGTTTTATTTTTATTTACTCTTTTTGTACAATGGGTATACAATGACGGACTTAATGCCTAGTAGTATTCTCTAACAGTCAACCTTAGGGTGATGCAGAGAGACACAATAGTAGGTGTAAAGGTTTAACAGTGTTGTGATTAGGGCTGCACGCTTTACAGTGACCAGTCATCGTGATCAAGATGATCGTGAAAATGTCAAATTCGTGAAATCGTGAAATTGTCAATACGTATTTGGAATTTGATGGGACTTGTTGGAAACCTTATTGGAATGGAGTTATTATTTTATTTAGCTCAGACTTTAATGAAAGAAGCCATAGTATGATCTAAGCCGATAGTATTGGCGCTTAAGTTAAGTGTATTGTTTAAGGCTTGAATGTTATGTACTGAATGTTATGTTGTCGGGTGATTTAGAAAATATAAAGTAACTAGCTTCTGCCCGCGACTTCGTTCGCGCAATCCCGTTTTCTCCCGTTCCCATAAGATTTGCAGGATTTTTTTTTTCTATCATAAGAAACTTACCCTGACAATAACAAACACATTAAAAAAAACTGCCCGACCCGGGAATCGAACCCGAGACCCCTCGCCCGGCAGTCGCACTTGCGACCACTCGGCCAACGAGGCAGTATTACTGGGTTTTTAAAAAAATCTCAGTAGTAGCACGGAGTCTGGAAATGTGCCCGGTATATGGCAATAGGCTCACCCCCTATTACATGGGACTCATAACATAAATAGTGAAAAGTGGGTGTTACCTCTGTGTGCACCTCTGCCTACCCCTTCGGGGATAAAAGGCGTGATGTTATGTTATGTTATGTAAAAAAAACTGCCAAATCGGTCCAGCCATTCTCAAGTTATGGCGGTGATAACGGGAAACGGGTTTTAACCAGTAGTTGGTAACCAGTTATGACAAAAAGGTATATTTTGCCATAGAATTATAATTTGTCTCTATTTTCCAGCGAAATCCCCTCAGAAGGTCTCCTGACCTTGAAGATTGATACGACAGCATGTGCTGGAACACCGAGCGAGGTGCGCTACTTGGAGCACGTGCAGGCCGTCGTCAGCGCCAACGCCAGCAGACGCGGGGACCTTGAACTCTTCCTTACTAGTCCAATGGGCACCAGGTATGGAACCACTGGTTTCTTTTCATCTTTTAAGTTCTTTAATTTCTTATACTTTTGAGCGAGGTATATGTAGTAGTCATGTTATTACGGTTCATAAAGAACTAAAATATCTTAACAAATAATTAATTAGCGCCTGAATGCTACTTTCTGTTATGTTTGATTTTTTTATGGCATAAGCCGGTAAACGAGCAGACGGATCACCTGATGGTAAGCAATCGGCGTCGCCCATGGACACCTGAGGCGTTACAAGTGTGTTACTGGCCTTTTGGGGATTAGAAGTTTGAGGATCGTTGGGGATTCAGGAATTGGGGAGATTGGGGAAGGTGAGGGGAATTGGGCCTCCGGTAACCTCACTCACATGACAAAAACAACTCATGCGTTGTTTCACGTCGGTTTTCTGTGAGGCTGTGGCATCACTCCGGTCGAGCCGGCCCATTCATGCCGAAGCATGGCTCTCCCACACTTACGATCAGCGTAGCGGAGATAATCTGGAATGGCGTTAAAGATGTTGTCCAGCCATTGCTAAATTCTAAAAGAAATATACCGATTCTGTCATATTTTTAATATTACTCAAATTCTTGTTGATTTCCAGATCAATGATTCTGAGCAGGCGTGCGAATGATGATGACTCCCGTGATGGTTTTACCAAATGGCCGTTCATGACCACACACACCTGGGGTGAATACCCTCAGGGCACCTGGATCTTAGAGGTAAGTTTTTCACGTTGTAGAAAGTAGGATCAAAATTCATTCAGAAATTCCCAGTTATATCATCTAAGTGACATTATATTTCAAATTATTGTTAGTAATTTGAATTTTGAATATGTAGTGTATTCATTTTCTTCGACCAATATCTATATATATAAAAGAAAGTCGTGTTAGTTGCACTATTTATAACTCAAGAATGGCTAAATCGATTTGGCTGAAAATTGGTGGGGAGGTAGCTTAGAACCAGGAGACGGACATAGGTTACTTTTTACCCAATTCTTTTTTTTATTTTTTACCGAAAATCAAGAACGGGAACGGGAAATATCGGGATTGCGCGTACGAAGTCGCGGGCAGAAGCTAGTCTATATATAAAAGAAAGTCGTGTTAGTTACACTATTTATAAATCAAGAACGACTAAATCGATTTGGATGAAAATTGGCGGGGTGGTAGCTTAGAACCAGGAGACGGACATAGGATACTTCATATCTAAAATTTTTTTTTTTTTACTTTTACCGAAAATCACGAACGGGAACGGGGGGGAAATGGGATTGCGCGCACGAAGTCGCGGGCAGAAGCTAGTTATACATATATACATACTACGCCAATTGCTACGATTCCTACATACCTCTTTCGCTTCATCAACAGTCATCAATCTTTTCATGCACACTCATCGGTTAAGGGTACTTTTAATTTGGCCCTTCTCTAATATAGGAGTCGAGAAATCGGCGCCCCTATGGGATCAATATTATGATGCCGCCATTTTGTAATTTGCATGCCTCGAAACGTAATATGGTTGGAACTGTACTTTTCTGCTAACAACTTAACTTTAACAGTAATGTTATTCATTAGCGAATAAATGTTTTCGTTTGATTTGATTCAAGTTTGATCGAACAGCAATTTTTATATTCTTCTATCAGGCACGTTACAATGGTGGTCCAAACAGCAACTCAGGTGACTGGTCAGGGTTCTTCAGAGGCTGGTCCCTAGTGCTTCACGGTACTAGGGCACCCCCATACGCCCAACTCCAGCCCCAGGACCCCCACTCGAAGCTTGCCGTCGTCAAGAAGGCGCACGAAGACAACGCGATCAACTAATACATAGCAACTAAACCAAGTTTTTATCACTGATCAGGGTTTTATAGTTGAGATGATTTTTTATTAATATTTCGTACAAAATTGTAGAAAAAAATTATAAATCAAACATTCTTGTTGACGCAATTTGAGTCATTTATCTTATTACTGAGGGTATATTTTTGTTTGAACGAAGGTCATCTTGGAATAAAGAAGAATATTTTATGTGTATTTACTGGAATGTGATAGACTGTTGAAAATTGGTTGGTTTTGGACATCTATTGCAGGGGTCTCAGCTACTGTCCTTCACTCAGACAGATAGTTTTAATTCATTTAAGGTCTACTCTCAAAATAAACCAAAGCCTATCTTGTATTCAGCTTGATATTTTATAATTGGTACTACTTTTAATACCTAACGATTAAATGAATTCATTATTATGAAAATACAATAATGACTACATTAAAATTGACTAAAAAATTATTAAAATAACGCAAGTAAATGATCAGTGATTTAAATTTGGATTCGAAAGCAATGTAGACATAACATTTGTTGCGGAAAATTAGCTTTTTTAATTACAATCTATTCCGAATACAGACAAATTACAAAACATCAACATTACAGATCAGTTAAATTTTTAATGACTCTGTAATAAATGTTATGTCTACAAAAAAAACTCGAGCGTCTGTAAAAACTTATGTATTTTTGTACATAGCTTTCACAGAAGCAAAAACAATTGTTTTTTAATTAAATTATTTATATTTCTGTAATTTTTTATTAAACGGTAACTGCGTAATTATTTCATCTATTTATATTGCTCTAAATTATTTTATTTTATGTATAATATTATTTGTTAATCATAAATAAATTAATGGAATGTTACCGTTTACAACTGTTTATGGCATAAAAAAAGAATTGGCGATTTTTTATTCTATTTATTTGTATTAAAAGGGAATTGATAGGTTGGATTGATTCCTAATAATAACATTGTTTGTAATATTTTTTTAATTATTTGCCTATACTTGCTACTAATATTGCTAAAGGATCTAAATTATTTTCTCTATTTTCAAGTCATAATTATTTAACATATTTATGGTTATTTTCGAAAACGATTCTAGTCATTTTGTTTTCAAATGTTATTAAATCTGTGCTTAAATTATGTATTTGATTATAAATAAAATCTAAAAACCCGATTGTGTTACAAATTGAAAATATAAAATATTTTTTCTTACATTGAAGATCGGAACGATGTTATTTTTATAATAAACTTCGCAGTAGAATGTAGAATATATATTTATTTTCTATGAATTTTGTTCATCTTCTTCTTCTTAAATATAGAACTAACATACAGACGGACATATCAGGTAACGTCGTATTGCCGTACATTTGACACAAAATATCATCATCTATATATTTTATTTCATAAAACTAGAAGTTGAACAAGATTTATTATAGAATAGATACATTTTTATTCAGCATTTTACATTTAAATTAATTGTATTTATTGTAGCCAAATTAATTAATTTGTCATAAATATTTTGTATTTTTTGTAGTTAATTAATGTAGCCAATTTATTTAATTAATCTGTTTTAATTAATACGTTTGTAATTTTTGATTGAATTCAAATGGCCTTTATTTAACCCAGCTAAATGAAGTTCATTTGAATATTTTTGCGTTAAATAATAATGCGTGTCGCAAGCCACGTATGTTAGAGTATTTACAAAGAATATATTAGAAGATTATCGTTATCAAATAAGATATAATAAAGCTATTTATATAATAATAACATGATTATACTTCCTTTTGGGGCCCACAAACACTGAAAAGTAAATAAAGCCTCTTTGCATCTATTTTCTTAAAGAATAAAATTTATTATTAAAATACAAGATTCTAGCATTTTCACTTCCATATTAACCAAATAATATTATGTATTAACATTTATGGGCATAACCGTAGGATTAATACAAAATCGTTAGGTATAATGGTTAAGAAATTTAAAAAAAACATATAAAGAAAAATATATTATGTACTACTATTATAGAAAATATAATGTGATTTGGTGTTGTATTTGAATTAAATGATGTTTTTGTAATTGCTACTCCTTTCCCTTTTATAGTGTTTTTGCTAGGGTTGAAAAAAAAAGAAAAAAATAGGGTTCCGGGTTAAAACTTGTAACTGCCTACTCAAAATATTCCAACGTAACTCATTTAAGAGAGGTAGGGCACAGTGGGTATACCTCACTCTTTGGAGCAACCCGACTGGGGAAGGACCTCCACTTTACAGAAGACCGCAGCCAAATAACACTGTCGGCAGTGTTGTGTTCCTGCGGTAAGTAAGGTATCCAGTTCTCCAGAGGATTTCTTGTGTTGATAGCGGGGGACCGGTGAAGCAAATGATACGGTCGCAGGTTAATGCAGGCGCGGTGTGTGGACGCAGCGGTCAGTGAGACCCAGTAAAACGGTTCGTCGCTGACCGCCCGCGGGTCAGTAGAGTTCCCAAACCCAGGGATCACACTATCTCCGCCCTGGGAGGCTGAACTCCCAATCCGTGATAAAATTAAATTCCGGGCAGAGATGGCACAATATTTAAGTACAACTTAATATTAAGTAACATTTCAGTATTCGGGCGTAAATATCTTACCTTCTTGATACATATAAAGTAAACAATATTTTACCTATCTCTGTAGTGTTCCTATAACAGTTGGTGATTGTCCACGACTGGACAGCTGTGACATTCTCAACGTAAAATTAATCGTCACCATGATTCGTAACCAAATGTTCGAAATTTTATAAATAATTTTATACCAGCGCCCCACCCCGGTATCGCACGGGTGCAATATGCGTGTATTATACATGTAAAACTTCTTTAAGAATCATTCTGTCTATTAAAAAAAACGCATCAAAATCAGTTGCGTAGTTTTAAAGATGTAAGCTTAGATAGGGACAGACAGACGGCGGATAGCGACTTTGTTTTATACTATGTAGTGATGTTTTAGTTACGATCTCAAGAGCAAGATTTCCTGCATATAAGAACCGCACTCCTTATAAATCATCTTAATATACTTACATCAAGGTCAAGATGTGAAAAGATAAATGAAACAAAGCAGTAATTTTTTAACATTTAATTTTCATTAACAAATGTATCGGACAGTTTGTTTATTTTACAATAGTTATAGCTATACACAGGGTATTGGAGTTAAGTACAGAACCTATTTATTACACTATATATACAAATATGGAATATATCTTAATCCTGCCAAGCCGTCGTCGACAATAAAAAAAAGTGGTAAGAAAAAAAAATTAACCAAATCAAAGGCACAAAAGATTTTTATAAACCATTTAACCAAGAAATAAAATTGTAAATACTTTTTACTAAAATACAGATTAAAAATAGAATGAAATAAAGCCGTATTATATTCTACTGTCTACAACCGACGACTAAGCCACATTTAAAAAAATATCTTAGGTTTGCAATTACTTAGGCTGATTGTATTTCAACGCACATGAAATTATTTAAATACAATTATAAGTCAGCTTATCTATTCATGGGATATCACATCGGGTATTTATTTATGATTAATTTATGGGGTAGAAATTAAATAATCTACTGCATTTTAATATTAGGAATCCGTATAACTTACTATGACAAATATATTTATGTTTACACATTTTTAAATGAATTGTAACGAATTTCATAGCACTTACAATAAAACGTAATTAATTCCATACATTTTTTGTATGATCTAGCTACCTTATTTTATACAAATTTTATTAAATTAAGGTACAGAACACTTAGAATCATTTAAAACATACAAATACGTACAAAAGCGTTCTCCACCGATTCACTTTAATTCACAGTTCTTTACTAAAGTCACATTTTTGTATGGTCCCATGCAAATTTTTGTTATTAATTTATTTGCTTCCACATTATGACCATACAATTCTTGTACGGCGTTGTTATTCATCATTTATTTGTATGAATGTTGTATGGTATCTCACAAACACATTTTTAAAGTTCGTGTTATATATTTTTTATGGATTAGTAAACAGGTATTGGTCTGTTTAGTTTGTTGTATGGGTTCAAACGCCCATCTCATTGTATGGCCTGCCGTTGTGCATGTCTACATCAACGCCGCGCTCGGAGATCCCGTTGAGGCCATTCAAGTGCCCACGGGAACTTAACTGTCAGAGGTCTGAAAACGAAAAAATGAAGTAAATTAAAATACAAGATCATCATCATCATCATCAACAGCCTATAAATGCCCACTGCTGAGCAAAGCCTCTTCTCACACGGAGAAGGTTAGAGCATTAATCACCACGCTTGCTCAATGCGGGTTGGCGATTTCAAACTTATAATTAGAAATTATAAGTCCAGGTTTCCTCACGATGTTTTTCCTTCACCGTTTGTCAGTGGTGTCTAAATAATCTTAGAAAGTACATATAACTCGGAAAAAGTCACATTGGTACTTGCCGTTGGTAGGTTTCGAACCCGCACCCTCATGCATGAGAAGTGGGCGTCTTAAACCTCCGGGCCACATGTGATTGCACATAATACACATCCATATCAGCTAAGCTATTTCGTAACTTTCATTTCGAAAGGTCACGTAATTGATTGTGAGAATAATCTCGATACCAATAACCGGCGAGAATGCGATCAAGCTCGCTTCGAAAGCCTAGCTAAAGTGTTTTATCTCTCTGAAGTTATGTTATTACTCCCATATACGTAAGGAGTTTAAATTCAAGGTCGAAAAATTAATGACAAAGCGTCATTAATTTTTCGACCTGACCACAGGATTCAGAACTGAGAACTTGGTCTTAATGATCATGGCAAAACATTCGACTATAAGAAGGTAAATATTCATTACATATGCACTTTTATATTTAACTAGCTTTTACCCGCGGCTTTGCTCGCGTCACATAAGGATAAAAAGTAGCCTATGTGACATATATACCAATATATACAGCGCCATCTGTACCAATACTTTTGTTTTCCTTCGGGAATATCAAATTTTTCCGGCATAAAAAATACCCTATTAAAAATCCAGACTTCTAACTTTACGTCTGCAAAAATTCGAAGCAATCGTTTTAGTAGTTACGGCGTGAAATCGGAACAAACAAACAAACTCACTTTCCTATTTATAACATTAGTACCTAAGGATTAAATGGATCAGGGTCAATGCAGAAGTCAGGTTGAGAATCAAAAATATTTTTGGTTTGATGGAGAAATAGTGGGGGATATAACTTACCCATGGTTTCCTGTTGTAACTCTAGTTTGTATGCTGGGTTGTCGTACGGCGGGAGCGACGACTCTCGAGGAGCAGATGGCACAGCTGTAAACATTGCACCCGTTTTTATTATTATTTTAGCATTAGGCGGTGGTGTTGCCAAGAAGGGTCCAAGGGGGCCAGGTACAGGTCTAATGTATTATCTGAAAACGCTATTCCATCTTAAGCTAAATCACTAATGCGATTAAAGTAAGGTGATCATCACTCAGCGTAGAGAGATACAGAGGTATGTGCTAAAGAGTTTGTCCAGTGCAGCAGTAGGACAGTTACAACTAGTGACAGGTTTAAAATCTTGTGAATAATGGTAATGATGACATTTATCGAAACTGTTGGTCTGTTAGACCATTATCATTCGATAAAGGTCATGAAGGCTAAAGAAGTACTTGGGGTTGGAATAAAATAATACACAAAACATTCAGTACGTACTAGTGATAGGCACGGATCGTGGTCGATGTCTCCGCAGCACCACGAGGAGTAGCAGCAGCGAGGTGAGCGCGCCGAGGGCAGCCACCGCCCCCACGCCCACCAGCGCGCCGTAGTAGTCGCCGCGGTGACGACTGGCTACTGATGAGGCTTCTATCTCGTCTGAAAGAAAAATATGTATACAAATATCTGTTTCATAGTTAGATTGCACGATCGACGCAGTATGTAGCGTGACACAGGTTCCATTCCCGTCCAAAACCATTATGTGATCCATAATTTGTTGCTCTGAATCTGTGTGTGATTTGTATCTATGTGATTGTGAGGTTGCGTTAGTATAACACTGGAGCAAGTGATAGCTATACTTAGACTGAGGAGAAGCATTAAGTATATAGATTGTAAAGGAATCGTGTTACGTCTATGCAAAACAAAAGTCAATCATACGTGAGTGTGTCGGATCGGGTAAAACATCATGGACATACCATATTTAAATCCAAATCAAACGATGGAATGCTTACTTAAGAACAAACTACTTACTGTCAATAGGTTCAGGAGAATCTTCATGTTTTGTGTTGATTTCTAAAACATTACTAGTCTTCACTTTACCGTTCGTCAGGAACATTTCGAGCCATACACGACACCTGAAAGATAAAATAAGGAAATAAGACTTTAACTCATAATACACAGAGATCATAACATCAAATATCGCAATTATTATATATTTGGTTTTGGATAAAGTAAGGTTTCCTTATTGACGCCCACCGTGGGACCATAATCTGTACGGGTCGATGTCATTTAAATCTCATCAGATTCACTAAACAAAAACCGACCGACAGATAAGCATTTCTTTACTGTTGACTTTCAAGCAATCAAAATGAGTAATTGGATAATTGATTCGATTTTAACTTTCTCTATCAGCACCATAACTTTAAATTAAATAATAACGGTTTTCAGTAGGTTTACGTACTTCGTGTTGGGCTGTAATCCAGTAAGAGTAATTGCAGGTGGCAGATCTCTGGTAGCCAGGCGGAATTCATCCTGTTCTCTCTTAGAACCACAGGCATGAGCTCCACGGTAGACTCGAACCCAGCGCTCAGCTGGTGACGGAATACCACGCCACCATACTTCTGCAGCTTCTGAACCTACTGTCCTAGCCTCGATGGTCACCGTCCAATTATATGGGTCTGTAAACAAAGTTACATATGTATCATTGGATAATGACCGATATGAATAAATTGCTAAGGTTATTTTTGAATATGACCTACAGTATACGCTATATAATCATTTAAAAATATCGTTACATAATTAGACTATTAAGATCTTTCATGAGGTGGTAAATAAAAAAAATGTATGCAAACATCGATGAATGAAAGTAATGGGAATTGTAATGACTATATTCGCATACGAATCGGTTACGTAACTTAGAATCGCTGTAATGATACCGTGCCCACATGAGCATAAAGTAGGTATGTATGCACGTATTATGTAATCAAGCTTACTACACACTGACAGATTATCTTAAAGATAAGAATGCTTGGCAGCATGTTGGTTCGGCTCTACTGGACAATACTCAAATGTAGTCAGTAGATTCCAATAGTAGGTAATTTAATAATTTAATACTTTCATTGTAATGTAGACAATCTAGTTTCCTTATGGCGTCGAGCATTTCTTTCTTAATTGAAACAAAGAGTTTCCTTTTTCTCGTATAGAAGCACTATTTTTATGGATTGTCAGTATGCATATGTGACCACCATGTTAGACTATGATTTTTTACTTTTTTTATTTTAGTTATGTTTGTAATTAGTACCTGTAATGCGTCAAGCGTGTCTTTGCATTGTTCTCACATATACGTACAGTATTGGAATATGTATCAGAGACATTGTAAACCATACTTTTTTAAAAAGAGTAACGAATGGAGTTTCTTGCTCGTTCTTCTCCATTCGAATCAACATTTTGGAGTGAGCACCTAGCGTCACCTAGCTTCACTGACGGACTGACTGACAGACTATTTTGTATTTGTTAACGTTTCAAAAGTACCAAATTATGATTTAATTGAAAGAAATGCTTTGACTTTGTCTTTAACTTTGACTTTATTTTTACAACTTACAAAAATAACGGTAACCGAAGTTAGAAAGTAAGTACTCAAAAGCATCAAGATGATAACTTACCAACATAAGGAGCAGTGGTGAACTCAATTCTACCAGGATCGACAAGCTCAGTGGTAGCTTTGGGAGGCGGTACCAACACGAGTGATGCCTCATACCGACTACCAGGTCGCAAGTCATGCAGCTCAGCCATGGACCGACTGTGGTGCAGGAGTTCCGTCATGCTATAGATCGGAGTACCAACTGGACGGTATCTGAGGAAGAAAGGTGAAGAGATTAGTGTAAATTAATATATTTTTGTTATCAGTAGATTGTTTCTGTCATAAGCTGAGCAATATGGCTCTCAAATAGAACGATCTTTTTTTAGTTTGAAGTTTTTAGTTTTAGATCAGAAAAAATAATTTAATCCTATATCTATTTGTTTTAACTATAAGCTCGTGTGAAACCGTTATAATTATTATCTATTAAACCATTTTTGTTAAATAACGTATTTTGCACCTTTTAGTCTCCATCGAAGCCTATATTATTCAATATTAACATTACTAAAGTATAAACAAACACATTTTTATCGTTCGCCGATCAAAACAGTTGACTATTTAGACTGGTTACATGGCATTTTGACACATATCTTCAAAAAATTAACTTTCTACGTATATGACTATGAGTTTTAAAAAGACTGCCTCGTTAGCCAAATGGTCGCAAGTGCGACTGCCGGGCAAGGAGTTCGATTCCCGGGTCGGGCAAAGTATTACAGAGTTTTTAAAATTCTCAGTAGTTGCACGGAGTCTGGAATTGTGCCCGATATATGGCAATAGGCTCACTCCCTATTACATGGGACTCATAACATAAATTGTGAAAAGTGGGTGTTACATTGTACATAATGTGCACCTCTGTCTACCCCTTCCGGAATAAAAGGCGTGATGTTATGATGTTATCTTAAAAAGTCATTTTACCTGACTTGTATAGCGTCTATGAACTGCAACTCATCCTCGCCAAACCGTCTCCACGTGACATGAGCCACGGTGTCATTGACATCCATCATCGTCAAGCGACTGTCGATCTCGCGACGTTTCTCTTCCACTGTTGGAGTGGCCTGAATGTAAAAAAATATTAAATTAATTTTAAAAAAAGGACAAGACCTACATCTGTACATTATACTGAGTTGCCTTTAATAATTAAACAAGAAAACAGTTTTTATCATTATCATCATCATCATCATCATCATATGCCCTATGCTTATAAGCCCACAGCCGACCAAAGGCCTCTTCTCACACGGAGAAGGTTTGAGCATTAACCACCATCCTTGCTCAATGATTTCGAAAATTATAAGCAGCCCAGGTTTCTTCACGATGTCTTCCTTCACCGTTTGTTAATGGTGTATAAATAATCTTAGAAAGTACAAATAACTCGGGAAAAAGTGACATTGGTATTTGCCGCTGGTAGGTTTCAAACCCGCATGAGAAGGGAGCGTCTTAAACCTTCGGGCCTTAAATTTTTATCAACTCACTATAAATCATTAAATTTTTCCCTTTCTACCCGACTGTAGGAAAGGTGCACGGAACGAATTGTGAAGCTTGCTACATGATACAGGAAGGGAATTGTTTTTCTACCATTTTTTCAATGTACCTCTATAATAAAAGTTAAAAGACAACACTTACCGAAGGTGAATCCAGAGTCCGTACTGTATAGATCTCACTTTCAGGTTCCACTGGAAGGTTGTGGAGGTATAGTTTTCCTCTGATCTTATAAGTTGTGCCAGGAGAGAGACCGGTCAGTCTGAACTCCAGACGAGGCGTGGTCAGGATCTCGTCTGCTGGTGCGAACACTTGCGAGAACCAATGGGCGATGTCTTCGTCACTGGAAAAGGAGGAAAGACGTATCAAAATGTGTCAAAAAAAATTTTTTGAATATCCCAGGGTTGAGACGAATTCAACAAAGCAAAGACCGTGAAGGCGTCTTATACTTATAAGTGGTGTAGGTAACTAGCTTGCTTACATCTGTGTTTGAAGCCACTATTTTGTCTATTGAATCTTTAAAAAATTTGGTATAAAAATACACTATGCTAATAAAAACTTACGCCTTATCAGTATATCTCAAATCGACACTGCCTCTCAATCCCACCAGTACAGGTGGAAGTCCAAACAGCATCTTCACACTGGTAGGAGAGTCCGCTTGCAGGGAAATGACAGTTAGTTTCTTGTTCATATCTCCGTATCCTGGAGGAAGGGTCAGACCTGGTGGTAGACCCTGTAATGCAGGCTCACCAGGACCTACAGGTCTGTGGATATTGTTCTGGTCGTAGTCCGGAATGTTCTCGTCATGAGGGAAGTGGATTTCAGGAGGTATGGTGGGAAGGAATGACTGCTGAGATGGTCCATCCGTTGTCGTGTGACCTGCAAACGAGTAACTCGTTGACACATACGAAATTATGAAATAACCGCACCATCGAGACATTTTGAATGGAATAATTTTTCAAACGCGATGCTAATTTTTCTTTATTAGTGGCCACTAGAGCCTTTGGAAAGAATTCCATTTAAATTAACGACTATTTAAGACCGATCAACACAAATGCGTGATTCCAACTTGAGGAACTTGATAATTTTGATTAACTCACTAAAGAGTATCCTAATTCAAAATGTCTCTTTTTACATAAACACTAAACAAACTACGACAGTTTACAAATAGTAGTAGTTAATACAATAAGATGATCTTATGATTGACGAGACGATGTGTTAATCGCAATAGGAACACACATGACATAAACAATGCAACTAAAACAATAATTTGTTTTTATAAATGTGACGAATTGCTTCCTGCAACAAAGTTTAGAAAAATATACAGAAGATCGGAAAAATCAGTCAAAGTTGGAAGTCAGTCGTAAATATATTGAGCAACACATATACACCAAGGCGGGGCAACAAACCTGCCGGGTCCCCCGGATCTTTGTCTGCTGACCGTCCCAGGTTCTTATTGGCTACTGACTCCACATCCATCTGATTGAGCAAATGCTCTAAATCCAGTGTCGTGTACGTCTTACTGCCCATGTGTGTCGCCTTTGAGTTTTGAGTATATGTTGAGGCAACGTCAGGTTTAGAGTTAAGTACAGGTCTTAGTAACACAGTCTCGTAAGGATTGGGTTCTTTAGTCAGCACATGGTGTGCTTTACTATCGTCATCCCACAACACGTCATGGTACATTTCAGTCGGTTTTGGGCTCTTCATGTCCTTAGTTTTAAGTATTGTCACATGCTTCCTAAATGCCTGGTCTCGACCACTACTTTGAGGGAGGATCACGTGAGGAATATGGAAGTCTATAGTGTTATTTGGTACAACGGGCTCGAATAAGTTCTGCAGATGCATATCGGACATAGTGTTAGATTTCATCTCTTGGTGGCTTTTAGTATATTCAGATAACGGACGCCTTTCCAGGGAGGGTAGAAAAAAATTAAGATTTTCTATTCTAGATATGGGCACTTTCCTGACCGGTTCATACACTGTTTCTGCAGACTGTTGAAGTGGGCGTGGAGTAGGCGCAGGAGGCCTATGAAAAAATTCGTGTAATTTCATATCTGGGGTAATGAAATTAATGTGCTGGTCACCGCGAGTTTGTTGGAAAGGTGGGAGGGGTTTCCTATAAGATTCTGGCACTTTTGGAAGTTCTTGTTTTCGGTGCTGTAGCTCCCAATTATCATGGCTACCCATGAGAGGTGGCTCAGGATGAATAGTTTTGAATTTGGCATCGACATCATTGAGGGTGAATACTGTGATATTGTCTCCTTGAGCACCAGATGGGGGTTTGGAAACTGATTCAGGTTGGTACTGAGCAACTACTGTGACTGTTGAAGGGAAGACAGTTTTAAGGTATTTAGGTAGTGACTTCACAGGACTTAGGTGCCTGTAGTAGTCTACAGCGTCAGTCGTAAGAGGAGGGGTGGGTATGACAGGAACAGATGTAGGTGAGCCAGGTGGTAGTGGCGTCACAAAGTTCATCATTTCACCGAGAACAGGCATGTTGAAACCCTGAAAAGATGATCCATTTCCAGCTGCAAGTAATAATGTGCGGATGAGTGACATGCTCGTGATAGTGTGAGATGAACAATAATGAAGTGAATTTGATCTTGAATTAAGCATTATTTTTATTGCAATGATGAATGATGTTGTTATCAATGTTGTCGAATATAACAATGCAGTCGTATAAAGTGGTCATGGCGCAGAAGCGGTATCAAAATTTACGTTGACATTTCTTCGTAAGAATGCAAATGTCTAATATCTGCAGAATGGTTTCCTCACCAGGTATACATCCCCAATGCTTGCAGCAATCGTCGTCGGATATGTTGACGGGAGCTGGCCGATGGGTGGGAGGACAGCGCAGAGTTTGGGGAGGTACAGCAGGGAGGGGCGAGCACACCTCCTGGCAGTCCAGCTCTCCATTCTCACAGAAACAACGTTGTTCACAACCAGTTAAACTTATTGGCACTTCACTCCAATTGGGCACGCTGGAAGAGAAACATATTTTAGAACAAGTTTTTAGCTGTGTTAAGTAGAAGCTACAAAGGTGATGTGCTGATTTGGCCTAGCTAACTATGCCTAAGAAATGGACAGTACGTTCGATTCTTCGAAGTACTGCTGTGTTTTGACTATTTCGATTTAAAAAATGACTATAAAATTTTTGCAAGAATTAAAAATACAAACAGCACTAATAACAAAAGCGACCTAAATGAGAAACTTTAAAAACTCCTTCACGACCAGAAAAAGGGAAATAAGAACCGTTCCAAAAACAACAAATTCTACTCACGCAACGCCCTTATAATGGCAGGTCCCATCGCTCAAACATCTGGCAGTCCTAGGACAGCAGTTCGGTGGAGTAGCTGGAGGAGAAGGTGCCCATCTCACGCAGCCTTTGGAGACCAGCTCGAGGCCGACGTGGGAAGGACACACAAGTGCTGCACACTCATGTGTATCTGGACCAGTGCATTCGCAGAGCTCCGAACAACCGATGTGGAATTCATCACCTGGGAAGATGTAGGAATTGATTTTGTTTCAGTCTTTTAAGCTAAAATTCATTATTATTACTATATTACTTCTAGTTTTATTGTGATTTTGTATGACGTCCTATTTCACGCTTAAAATCATCTCTCTAGTATCGAATACTAAAGTAATAGTACTTAAACTGTAACTTTAACAATAATCTGATACTAAAAATTTTGCAGTAAGCATAGCATTACCACATTTTTGCGAGTAAAATCCATAAATCGGTACGGTTTATGCTTTCGTCAACGAAGACCAAACAATCGTTAAGGATAGATTAGATATTTAATATTCACAAGAGCATTTCATTCATTCCAACTTGTTATAAATTATTCATGTCCGAACAGGATGCACAGTTTGATGTCAGTTACATTGTATTACCTATTACTTTTCTAAATGCTATCGAATAAAAAATTGGGATTGGGAAGTTCCACAGTGTAACTTCGACACATAAACTTGATTTTTCTCAAGGAAAAGTTTCGTTTCGTTTGCATTTTGCAACCTAATTAGATCTATAGTATACAAGGACAATATAAACTATAAAATGGATTTAAAATTTGTCAGTAAATTGTCATTGAGTTCGGCTCTAAATAATTAATGACTATCCCCAATTAATCTAACAGTGAGGGACTGCTGTTTTACTATTCGCGTGGATGATAAAAATAAAATAATCAATGGTTCGACACTAGCTAATTCTGTATAGAACAAACAGGACCTCAAGTTACATTGGCATTGGTATCATCACTAACCTTTATTGCAAATAAATATTTAGATTGAGTACTTTAGGCAACTTACCAATAGCATAAAACTGTCCAGCATGATAACACCCAAGTTTGGAGACATTATGAATATCCTCATTAGGCACTTCATTAAGTCCATTATCAGAAGCTGTTATAGTGAAGTTGAACTTCGTTCCAGTTTCTTTAGTCTTCAGTATATAATCTTTTCCACCTTCTAAATTCAGGATCAGATTAGAATACTTTAATTCCACGTCGCTAAAGGACTTTCCACCATCATTGCTTAGGAGGAGATGGATAGGATCCTCGCTTTGGTTCAAATGCATCAGGTTGACTTGGACGGAGTTGTTCTGCAGTACCTTCACTGAACCTATAGGTTCCGTCAATACTAGAGGTCTTTGGATATTTTCAATTTGCTCGTCGTATTCTTCAAAGCCTTTGATCATCTGTGGAATAAAAATGGTCGAATGACTTAGAGTAAATTAAAATTAACTTTTTTTTTCTGAGATTTGTCGGACATTCGCATTTCAAATCACAGTAAGATAGTTCTTTAGTCTACATAAATACCTCTATGATCTATAAGTTCGCCCTCGTTGATAACGAACAATGAAACGATGAATGATGACAATCGAACGAGGCCAGTTCTATCATAAGCGTTTAGAGTAAATAAACAAAAGGGTATATGGCAATAGGCTCACCCTCTATTACATGGGACTCATAACATAATAGTGAAAAGTGGGTGTTACATTGTACAGTGGTATAATGTGCACCTCGGCCCACCCCTTCGGGGATAAAAGGCGTGATGTTATGTTATGTAAACAAAAGGGTGATTTAGTGTTAAGGTTATTTTCACCAATAAACATTATTCCATTCTATACTCTTCTATTATTCTATCTACCTCAGTAGTGGTACTAGTGGTGGTAGTGGTAGTTGTGGTAGTAGAAGTGGTAGCATTCTCCGGTTCCTCATGGGCATCGTGGCTGACGTCACAGACTTGAACTTCACAGCACGCATCGTTTGGATCCTGCACGTTGATGCACTTGTCCGAAATAGGCAGGGACTTGCATCTGTTGTACAAATTGAAAATTGTTGCATGTAGGTTACATAGGAAAATTATAGCATATGTAGAATACCTATTGTTGTTTGTCATCTCTGTTATAAAAAAGGCATTTTGCATTCGCATATACATATAAAAATAAATAGATCAAAATGCTTGTCATATTATTTACCCCCTATTACATCGGACTCATAACATAAATAGTGAAAAGTGGGTGTCACTTCTGTGTGCACCTCTGCCTACCCCATCGGGGATAAAAGGCGTGATGTTATGTTATGTTATGCTTCTCATATATGTAGTTGCTATGCCAATTGTCGTCAATAGCTTTAGGGGCTAATTATATTACTGAGAAATTATTTAATTGATTTTTATATTGACAGTGGTGGGGAACCTCAAATGCTAAAGATTTGCCATTAATAATTTTATATCGTCAATCAAAGCTATAAAATAATATTAAATTACCTCGGTTTGCAAGTTACAATAGAGTTCGGTTCACAAGTGCACGACTGCTCACACCCAATGTGCCAGGTGGATCCAATCGGATGCGTTTCATTTCCATAGCGACACATAGCAATCTTCGAGACCTTCCCATTTTCTGTAAATAAAATAAATTTCATTAATTACCCATTTAACAACCTCGTAATATAAAAGGGGAAAATCATCAAATGACTGCTCCCGCCTGGGTGAGGCGGGAGAAGTGTCAGACTCTTACTGATTAAAAACCACCCCCTTCCTACTCCTGCACTTCGAGCCGGAGCCCCGGTAATCCGTTACGTTCTCCGCAGCAGGAATAGGATGATCTAGCTTTAATAGATTATTCTCAAAACTTTACTAGACTGGAATATTTTAAGAAACAATAACTAGGCGTAAACAATCAAAAGGCAAAAATAGTAGCTCAAGATCGAAAAGGAGATAGACATGTGTTTTAATACCTCCTTCTGCCTTAATTAACTAAAAGATGTGAGAAAAGTCTACTAGTTTCGGGTCGTAGTGGGACTCACCCTCATGAGCAGCGAGCACGGTCGCAGCCACAGAACATATAAAGAAGGTTAGAAAGGAAATAGTTCCTGATTTGCATTAGAACACGCGTCGCCGTTTGTCCCCCACTCTTTAACTTTACTACAAGCAAGAGACCAATACCTACGCGGAAAATGCACACAAATAAACAACACGCACTAGGTTAAATGATTTGTTATTGGTCGTCACACTGACGCAATCACTTCGTTTGACATACACTAATACAGGCGTAAAAAACTCATATATGGTAGAGGGAGCGAAAGGTCGACTATTGATATCGATAAAATTAATGGCATCTAGCTTCTTAATTTACATGCATTGCGGACTATGCGGATTTGTATAAGGCATATTGTGTACATGTATTTACGTTAATGTAAATAACTATACATAGAAAAATACATAATTGATTTTTAAAATCAATTACACTATTAACATTAAAATAATTTGACATGGAATATAATTATAAGTAAATTCTTGATTGGTAGTAATCAAAAAAGTATAAAGAACCGAAAAGGTGTTATTTCGATTTTGTTTTGTTTTCAACTGTAAGTTTTATAAAAATAAAAGGAGTCCGGGAAATCATGGGGTCAAAAATAATAGATTTTTACTTAATTCAAAATATATAAAAAATAGCGTAATTTCTCCCTATGGAATGAAAAATCATAAAATAATGAAATATTGAGAATTATCATAACGTAACCATATCATGATATATCTAATCTGTGGTCAAAACTCTGTTATTGTCTCTGTTAGATATCATCATGACATTCGTATGATGACAACCGATAATCGTCGTTCGTATTTCTTTAATAGTTAATATAAATAGGAATTATTATATAGTTTCGGTTACATAATTTCCTTTACTGAATGTGAGTGGTGTGCAAATTAACTTAGAAAGTACGTATAAGTTGTATGAAACAGCGCCGCAACCTCCAGGCCAACACAATATTTTAGCTCACGTAAATTAAGTCAGCTCTGAAAACTAGAAAAGTCATCAGGTGTACATAGCTATTCTTAAAACAGGTACAATACAATCGCTCCCAGGATATAATGTCATTTTAATTGTTGTCATAGCTTTCTCGAATAGAAAACCTCAACAACTATTTTAAATTATTGACTAAGATTTCGGCTGGCTTTTAAGAATTTCTCATAGTTTCAACTATTTACAATTTGGGCCTAAGCATGTATGAAAGAGTATCCATCTTACGAAAAATGATTTAGATGTCGCTTAGATGATATCAAGGTTGAAATGTAAAATAAAATTTCCTAAATCATAAAACTTACTGAACAAAACATAACGAACACATAAAAATTATATAAATCTGAAATACGAATAAAATGCCTCACTTAAAACCTATTTCATAATTAGTCGTAATACATAAAATTATTTTAGTTATGATGTGTATAATTTGATAATAATCCTTTGAATCATAGTAATTATCGACATTGTTTACAAATTGACACTTCTCTATATCGATTCGAGAAAATGACGTTTTAATTTGATACTCGGGACTCTCGTTGTGAACGTAATACATTGCGCGATCGTTTATGTAGTGCAAAATGGTACGTATCTATTGCAAGCAATGTATACTGCTTGCGATAATGTCGTTTTTGTCTAGAAACGTCATAATATTAATGTTATAATTACAAATATCACAAGTATATTAATGTTTTTAGAGTCAGTGGTGGAAAGAAATCCCTTCTCGTGCTACATTGCACACCTGTCTTCTTTTCCGACACATTACAATAGTCCAAGACGGCATAATTTAATATTATTTGCGGAGTTTCGTACGCTGTCACAACAACATTGCGTTTGATGGCCGGTTTTTGACATTTTGGTAGACTCAGAGAATTTGGTCATAACCGCGGCACGCGTGTACCGCCCACAAGGCCGTTCTATCCTCCTTTATATGTTCTGTGGTCGCAGCGATGTCGCGCAGCCTACTATGCAGCATCAGTACAGTACAGCGAAACTAGTAAAGCTTTTCTCAGTATATTTACGTGAGTAACTCGTAATTTTTAGTTAATTCAGCATATCTTATGATAGTTATTATAGAAAACACCTCTTTAAACAAAATATCGGTACCTAGTTTAAAAGTCTATAAAAATAATTTAGAAACTTAACGTAGATACTAGCGTGTGTTCATCGAAAAATTTCAACCCTCGAACCATTTGAAGTAAAGAATTTTGAGCCTTACGAACAAAATAATAAGTACCATTTCTACCTGTATTTCCAGTAGCACAGGCTATAATGGAGCAGCACTCGTCGACTGGAGACTCAAAACAGAGAGGATCGTTCAATCTTCGACCACGTCGGATGTAGGGGTGCTTGCAGCGTGGAGAGCAATCAAATATTCCTCCCGCTATACACTCACATGTTTCCTCACAACCACGGTCCATTCGTTCACCAATCTGTTCAAGGTAAAAGAAAAATATGTTAGGTTAAGAAGTTAATTTATTTTTATATGTCCTAATGGACTAAAAACTCGAACTCGAACGATGTCGGTTGAGAAAATGTGGTTAATATAATTTCTAATACACATGCACCAATTTAATAATTTCTAATAACCGTACATCATTAGATTGAATGGTAATGAACTAGATAACTGATTGATTTTGTTCAATTAGCACAGAAACGTCACTATAAAACCAGCTGATCGACGCAAATAGAAATTAATAGACCAGCTGCAACCTGCCCCAAAATACATTTCATTTTCAACTTGGATACATACCTAAGAATAAGCTTAAAACTTTTATCCATCCTATAAGGTAGCCTGTTGAGCTTATTGAACCAAATATTTAGACTTTAACCGGAGGTCCCCCACCCTTCCCCAATCTCCCCAATCCTTGAATCCCCAACCATCCTTAAATTGCTAGTTCTCTAAGGCCGGTTACGCACATGTAATGGCTCTGCTGTTCTAGGTGTCCATGAGCGACGCCGATTGCTTACCATCAGGTGATCCGTCTGCTTGTTCACCGGCTTATCCCATAAAAAACTTACCTTATAAATAATCTCATTCTCTTTACACGTGTCCATCTCCTCCGACCCTCGTTCCACCGTCATCAGCGGATGGAACGGAGCCTGCAGATTAGCATAGAACTTCTCAGGCATATCCTTATGCTTATGTTCAACTGGTATCATCCTCGGTTCGTCGTCATCATCTACATCCAAATTAACATCGCTGAGATCTGTCAAATGTTTCTTTTGTCCCTTTGCATTCGTTTCATTGTGCAGTGCAATAGCAAAGTTTTGTAGTTCATCCACGTTTAGGTGTAACAGTCTTGCTCTTGGTTTGATAGTTTCTTGGGTTGGTAAAATTGGATCTCCAACTTCTGATAGTGGTGTGGGTTCAGTTTCTGGGTCTATTCTTCTTTCAGTTGTTGTTTCTATGTATGGTTCTGTTGTCGTTGTTGTGGTCGTTGTTGTTGGTGTTGTTGATTGAGGTTGTAGGCTTGCAGCCTCTGTTGTTGGTTGTCGCTGTGCTTGCGGCGATTGTCTGTTGTTAGCTCTTACGTCATCTTCTTCTCCTGTTATTTTACCTGCAACAAGAGATATTTTATTAGTTTAGTCTTTATTGTTAGGTTTTGTAGTGTCTGATGTAATTGATGAACATGATGTAACTATGTCATAAGATGCGATTACGGACGGAATGACATAATAAGGTACATTGTTTTATAAATATCAACGCTAATCCTATCACAAGATTTGATCATAGCATTACTCGTCGACTACAATTGCTTCAATCATGTTTACTCATCAATTTTAATCAGCAAATACTCAAGTATTTGGTAAGAAAGAAATAATTGAGGAAGACCAAATGATACCAGAACAGTTGGATATCCGTAACGATAATGATATGAAGAACTAATAACCAAAGGTTAATGTCAGCAGGAAACGTTTGCCTCAGCAAAAACTTGACTTGAAACTAGGGCAAGGTCAGTAGGCGACACTAGTCGTGTACCATTAGACTCGCCCATTATTCTACAAGCAATTATAAACCATGATACACTGTATTAAAGTCTCCAACCAAATAAAGAAGTAAACGACCTGTCGATCGAAATCAATGTAACTGTCAACGAATATCGATTACGATAATGATGGTTATGGTGTTTCAAAACTGTAACAATGTATATTAAACCTTAAAGTGAAAGAAATAAGAGTGCATTCTGTGACAATGGCATATGGTACTCCAAAAATGTGACAAGGAAAAATGAACCTTCAGTCCCATAGATTTAAGAATGTAATTTGCTCGTTGTGTGCACGAAGAAAATACGTGATGAATTTAGGGCGAATAAACTTGAGACAATTGTCGATCGTGAGAAAGTTGTTCGTGGATATTAAAACAAACGATTGTTTCTGTTTTTAAAACTAAATAAAGGAGGATCGTATGTCCTAATTGCAATGCATACTTGACCTTGAGTTCTCACGATTAGAGTTCATTGTTCCAGTGAGAAATTTGATGGATCACTAAACTTATGTTTAGTATATTTTTCAATAAGAAACTTTATTGTTATACGCACAGGTGTTATTTTTGTTTAAGTATTCGTGTGAAAAAAACCGTAATGACTTATGTTGTAATTTAACAGAGATATTTTCTTATAGAATCTAAAGAATGGTAGGTATTTATAATAGGCACAATATACGCAGAAAAAATATGTGTGAAAAATAACACATCCATGACTAACATACCGGAGACGTTTAATTGTATAAAGAATTTTCAGTAGTTATGTTACAATAGGGACAACACAATAGTCGGTGAATGTTTAATAAGATAAACATAGGACCACAACGCCTGTACTCAATTTCGAAAGCGTAATAATACATTTCAGGAGGTGAAGTATGGAAGAGTCATGATTCAGCACTATTGGGCCGGCTTGACCGGAGTAATATCACGGCCTCATAGAAAACCAACGTGAGACAACACTTGCATTGTATTTCATCGTGTGACTGAGACCCAAGTATCCCTTTCCCCAACCCCTGAATCCTCAAAAATCCTTAACTTCCTAATCATCAAAATACCGGTAACGCACTTGTAACACTTGTAACGCCTCTAGTGTTCCGGGTGTCCATAAGCGGCGCCGAATGCTTACCATCAGGTGATCCGCCTGCTTGTTTGCTGGCCTATACCAAAAAAGAAGGTACTCGACAAATCAAAACCACTTGACAAGTGTGAACTCTTTAAAACGCCAAATAATATTGTAGGTTTACATACATAAATGATATGCTTATGTTAATATCTTTCTGTACACCTGCGGGCCACATTAGCATATTGTATGGCACAATTTTTATATACACACATACAAGTCGATCATTCATGCAACATGCACTGCCAGTCTCAGTGTAAGGTTAACAACCGTTAATGATATTAAATTAGAATATTTGCACTGGTACTATTACAAAAACGGCCACGGCCTCACAGAAAACCGACGTGAAGCAACGCTTGCGTTGTGTTTCGTCGTGTGAGTGAGGTTACCGGAGGCCCAATTACACACCCTCCCTAGTCTCCCGAATCCCCGAATCTTCCACAATCCTCAAATTCCCCATTCCCAAAAGGCCAGTAACGCACTTGTAACGCCTTAGTGTTTCGGATGTCCATGGGCGGCGCCGATTGCTTACCATCAGGTGATCCTTCTGCTGGTTTACCGACTTATGCTATAAAAAAGTCGATGTTTAATTTTTTTATGTAAACTTTTTCTATCCCACCCCTATTTGTGTCTGGGTGACCAGCTAACTGACAGACAACTGCTCGTAAAAAACCAAAAACTTTATTAGTGTTTTGGGAGTGTTAGAAAAGTATAACAACCTCATTTTACCCCATGCTACTTACAAAAACCAATTCAAAATTGGTCATCATTATGGACCCATGTTTATCCATATAACAGATGATGAGATGAGCATACATCACTAACTCAACGTCCGCTCTTGCTAACCATCCAAAAAGCGAATAATCGCAGCCAAGGACCTTTACCGAGTACTCACAACTGCGACTACTCGATTTAAGAATCGATATCACATCGAAAATCACGATTAAAAAATCGATACTGTGCGGATATCGTTAAGTTTGTAAGTGAATGATGGCCTCAAATCGACCTCAGCTGGATGTAGGTTAGCTAAAGGACGCGAATGTGCAGGTGGACCGGTTGTCTGCGCGTACGCATGACACGAACCCGTCTACTGAACGTTGTTTACGTTCTAAAGCTGTAGTATGCTAATTTATTTTATTAATTGTTGATTATTTATTAGGGCAAACAAGTGACATTATGGACAGTAAATATAGCTCAATACTGCTTAATTATTTCCATTTTACGTTCGTAAGCAGAGACGATAACGGGTAAGTTGGCATACCGACTAGTGAAAAATGGATATTACTTATAATTCTTTACGTCTAATTATCCCTTCTAGGTGTAATGTTGTACTATGCTACATTTTAGAAACTGTATACAGCAATTTGAACTGTTGTGGATGAAATCTAATAATTATGTATTTTTATAAATCCGTATTTGTATAAACACGTTTTGATATTTGTAACACAGGTGATGAAGTATTCGTCCTTGTTTGAATTTAGATTAGTCGAAAATTCTCATGGAATCTGGAATTATGATCGATGTATTACCAAAATTCCCTGAATTTAATGTCTTAGCAAACCCCAACATACAAATAAATAAACTAACTTTACGATACACCGTTACAATCTTTATAATCTTGAACTTGTACCGAATAATATGCCGAACGGTTAACAAGAAAGTGGGCCAGACGACCTGACCATCGAAAATGCAACGCGAAATTCCAGTGACTAAGTAACAGCTCGCAACAGTTGCGTAAATCGCGTCAAGCATCCGCCTTCATAAGGGCGACGACTCACTGACGGTGTTACGCGAAAACGCGCGACAATGTCACGATCACCGCGCCTTGCTTACTAATGCCTTGTCTTAGATTTGCAGCATAGAATATATATTAGTCTATAACATATTCGGTGTTGAATTCAACATTCTTAAATCTTAATGCTTCGTTTTTTATTTGTTATTAAAATCATTCTGTGATAGCTTACTTGTCGACTATGCCTTATCTACATAAGAAACTTATGATGGCATTATCTTCACATTTGATAAGGGGTTGCAGACGTTGTTTTAAAGGTTCAGATTCATCAGGTGTTGCTGCCCTATCCTAATAATAACCGATCTTAATCCTAAATATCCAAATTGATCTCTGTTTTTGATAGAAATTCCATTCAAGTAATGTAAAAATTCGATCGCAATACACATTACAATTAATCGCACATTCAATTCAACAAATGCACACTACATAAAGTCAAAGTATTTATTTCAATTAATCCTTAATTAGGCACTTTTGAAATGTCAACAATTTTATTGTCCATCCTTCTGTCTGTCTGTAAAGCTAGGCGCTCGTATCGCATAGCATATTCTTTTAGTACCTACTTATTTATACCCTTTTTTATCATATAAGTTTTCTAGGTTAAGATTTGTAATTAAATAACAACACGATTGCCCTAAGCAATACCTATACATATGTGTAGGATCCACTCACGATTCACTCGTCATTGCATGTCGGTTGCTTGAACGAAGGGCACCATTTGTCACGACTTGCGGTTCATCGAAGTGTTAGTAGTAAAATAGGCACTTATATTAAAAACATGTATCATTAATATTAAGTTACAAGGTGCAAAAGCCAAGGATACACTAAGGGACAAATGTCCTGAGACGCGTGTCGCGAGCGACGTTGGGTGAAGCAGCGTGACATTGCCAGACTTTGGTCGACATGACTGGCAACATCAACGTCGCAGTGGAAATAAGTCGCGCGTTGTCGCTTGTCGCTATGTATGTCAGGCGAAGTTAAATGTTGCGGGACATTTTTCCCATAGTGTATTCCTGGCTTTAAAGCTAGTTAATCATCTTTGTAATTTAAAGCTATATAAAATATGTTATACGCCATTAAGTACTTATCCATAAGTTACTATAAGATGTTAATTTAGTAGATTATTATGGCATCAATATTAAGTTAACTTGTACCTACTTTATATAAAGTGACACAAAAAGTTTTTTACATTTATTTACAACGTGTTTTTTTTGGCATTAATTTAATTTATAGAAATAAAAATGAATTTCCGTTCGTTAGTCTCGCTAAAACTCGAGAACGGCTGAACCGATTTGGCTGATTTTGGCCTTGAAATGATCGTAGAAGTAGAAGAAGAGAAAAAAAGGTTTTTAGGCGGGTCAGCTAGTACTTCATAATCACGTAACCTTTATTTTTGAGAAAAAAAAACCGCGCGATAAACTTTAACGCTCCAATGTGAATAAACCCTAAAAGCACGCGACTGAGCGGATATTTTGTTTATCAGTTCATTGGTTCGATGGCCAAGGAAGTCCGACATCTCACGGCTGAATGGAGTCACCTGTTACATCGCCGTGAGTATCGGAACTGTTGTATACCGTCCAACACTCCATTAAACAAGCTAATTTGTTTAGTATGCTCGTTTCTTTGATTTAATTATAGATGTTTGTTACTTTGTAAACGTATGCAT